TCCAATCTCATTAACTTCTGCAAGAATCATCATCATCTTTTTCTTTAGCTTTTTCATCATTTTTGCAGCCTTCAACTTCTCACTCCACTTCTTTCTTTTGCCTTATTTCTTTCTGTTTACAAGTTACCACAACTTCCTTGTATCTCTGGGCTGCAATTCAAGTTGTATGGATAAACTATTTTGATATATCCACTGGCTGACGTGACTACATCATGTAATTTTCTATAAGCTACAAATCTCTTCTTTTTGGTTTTCCATTAATTTAAGCATTTTTTGTTGCTAAACCAAACAATCACTATAATTAATTGTGCTATTATTATGCTATAATTAATAATTAGAAACTAAGTAATTTGGTACTAGAGGTAAATGTTATGCACTTAGTATCAATACAATTAATTGTTTGGCTTAGTACAACAGTCTTTGTGATGTTGATATACACATATATACATTCTTTGTTGGTGGAAAATCCACATTCCATATGAGCATTACCATGGAACATTATTAAAATCATCTTCATACATGTTTCAAATTCTTTTACTTTATCACATTGATGTGACAGACTAAGCCAGAAAGAACCAAACCTGTCATGCTGTCTGGAGTAGTGTTTAACCATAATCACTAATTCCTGGGAATGACAAAATGTCTTTGTATTGTTTAGCAATTTTAATCACTTGCAATCAGAACCTTTTAAAATGCAATAACACAGTTTTAATGAAAACATGTAATGAACATTTCCGATCTTGAACAAGGTCTGCTTCATGTTTTTAACCAACAAAATTCCAAATTGAAATGCATAGAACAAAAATATATTTGAAAAATTATTCTCAAAACTTTGGAACAACACATAGCATATATAAAAAATTAAAAAGTAGACAATATAAAAATTATAAAATATATAACGCTAACCTAAATACAAAAAATTTTTAAGATGTAACTAATAGCAAATAATATAAAATAAACCTTTAACTATCCAGCAATAAAAAATGTTTAATAAAACGTTTTCAACCGTTTTTAAACGGCCATCTTCAGTTGAACTAATATTAAAAAGGAACACTAAAAAAAAAAAAAAACCGCATGAAATACAAATTAAACAGAAACCGAAATTCGCATGCGTAACTCATTGGACTTGCATCTTCTGAAAATCTATAAATAACTTGCAAATAACACGAAAATAATAAAGCCACCAAAAAAAGAGGGGAGGGAAATATACGTTGATTACAAGGTGTTAATCTGCGTTATTGTAAAAGGATTTCCAGGCATAACGCAGATTAACACCTTGTAATCAACGTATATTCCCCTCCCCTCTTTTTTTGGCGGCTTTATTATTTTCGTGTTATTTGCAAGTTATTTATAGATTTTCAGAAGACGCAAGTCCGATGAGTTACGCATGCGCATTTCGGTTTCTGTTTAATTTGTATTTCATGCGTTCTTTTTTTAATGTTCCTTTTTAATATTGGTTCAACTGAAGATGGCCGTTTAAAAACGGTTTAAAACGTTTTTATTAAACATTTTTTAATGCTGGATAGTTAAAGGTTTATTTTATTTTATATTATTCATTCCAGTATAAGTTCTTGTTTTTATTTATTTAATAGCAAATAAAAAACTGATTTGTGTTAGCATTGCCTGTATAAATTTTTATATACATTATGTGTTGTTCCAAATTTTTAAAAATAATTTTTCAAATATATTTTTGTTCTATGCATTTCAATTTGGAATTTTGTTGGTTAAAAACATGAAGCACACCTTGGGCAAGGTTGAAAACATTCATTAGATGTTTTCATTAAAATTGTGTTACTGGATTTTAAAGGTTCTTGATTGATTGTGATACATTCCAGTAATTTGGAAGCTAGTTTAATTTAATCACCTGTAAAATCATTTATCCAATTATTAGACATAAATGTTTCTAATGTAATATCTAGAAGTTTTTGTGTTTTCTCTTTATTCCTTGCATAAGCTGAATTTAGGTCAATGACAGTCTCTCGGTCAATTTGTATTTCAGTGGCAAGTTTTCTAACAATTTGGTGGTTACAACTCATAAGCAGTTTGCACAGCCTTTTCAAACTTCTAATATACTCTGTCAATTACTCCCGTCATTCTAACTTTTCTAATTTTCTAATCTTTGGTGGCATATTTAAGGTCTACTGTATGTATTGTAGAGATGCACATCAGTAATTGAATTCAGAGAATGTTTTAATTTGCTATCTGAAATCTACAACTACAGTGTCAGAACAGACTTTTATTAAGGAGATAGTTAAAAAAAAGACCAGGTGTCAAAAAATTACTGACCAAAAAATGACCATTAATGCCATATTGTTATTAAAAGAAATGGAAGTATAAGAATGTATTCACCAAAAACATCTCACATCTCTGCATTAAATGAAGTTTATTTAGCCAGATATTATATATAAATTATATGAACATATTATTGATCAAACTACTGTTTTCATAAAATATAATTATTTGATATTATGAAATCTTATATTTAACAAATAATACCTATGTTTATTGTCTTGTGACTGTAAATTAAAAATTTAAAGCATGTAAAACTTGTTAATTTAAATAGATTTCACTATTAAAATAAGAGAAATTTCAATAGATGAATGACACTCAAATGAAGTAAAATCAATTAACTACAGTGGGTGATCGGTTAATGAACATAATCCGTTCCAAGACTTTGTTCATTATCCGAATTGTTTGTTAACCGATTATCGATTTACCATAGGTTTTTATGGGAATTTGATTAATTCATTCTGGAGACTCCAAAAAGTAAAAAATATATACATTTTTACTACGTTTACTTATATGTAATAGTAAAAATACATATATATGTAGTCTTGCATTTTTATTAGTCATGTTTTTTCCGCTTGTGGGGGTTAAAGAATCTGTCCAATGTCGATTGTTTTTCTCTTTTCATCAGGATTTTTCAGAAGTAATTAATAGTATTGTAATTGTAGAGATCCCCAACTCCATTAACCTTATTCTGGTTGGGATGCCACTTGGATGATCGTTGTTTTGACATTCTCCCACTTTCGTCTTCCTCTTTTTCAAAAGAAAACACATCTCTCTGAGTTTCTTGGTATTCTTCATTTGAGAGTTCTTGGAGTTCTTCTGTCGTCAGATCAGTTTCAGGTTCCATTATGAGCTCTAAAATGCTCTTTATTTCTCAGATGTGATTTTCATGACTCCATTAGCAGCTTGAGACATCATGACATATCTTTCATAGCTAAGATTGTGCCTACTGTAGACATGTTCAAGCCATTCTGCCTAGCAATATTAGACATCTTGTGCCCACTTTCTACCTTGGCTATTATCTCTTGCTTGGTTTCTACAGTGAGCATAGTTCTTGACACTCCTCTTTTTAGGCTCCATAATATTATCAGTTTCTTTTTTAAATAAAAAGTTCAGAAAAGCACTTACAAAAATTCAGAGAACAGAAATCAATTAGCCTACAAAAAATTATTTAAATGCAAGACCCGGATGAAATTCGAAATTTGGTATTAAAACGTTAACGAATATCCGATGAGAGTTAAACTTTCACCTTTCGTGAATAAATCCCGATGCAAAACTTAACAAGTGCACGTCTGACAGTCTCGCGAATACTATAAAAAATTATTTGTCAGAAAGGTAAACAAAAAGCTGGAATTACAAGGGAGAGTTTCAAAATTCGGAGGAATATTATACTATCTGATCAGTATCGGGTTGACATCGATGTTGACATCTCCCGCGCTCCGAAAGTTTCGAATTGTTACCCGAAGACACGGGAAAAATCAATCGGTTTCATTATTTTCCGTCGCTTCTTTTTATGTTTGTTCAGTAAAGTGTTCATTAACCGAACATGTGTTCGTTGTCCGATCATAAAAATCTTTCCCAAAAGTGTTCGTTATCCAATTTGTTCGTTATCTGATTTGTTTGCTATCTGAACTGTTCGTTAACTGATCACCCACTGTATAGTTAAATCTGTTCAGATTTAACATGCTATAATACTGAAATTGATATTAATGTCACTTAACATGTTTTGCTTCCAAGCTCCTTACTTATTTTGAATCTAATGCGCACTTCATTTCTCAACTTCTCAAAAAGTTAAAAAGGATGCACATTAATATAGAATAAATACTGTACAGTAAAATCTGTCCAAAAGAGACTCTTAATGATATTTTGCAAAAATAATGACAAATGAAAAAATTGTCTTTTAGTTAAAATTGTGACTGGTTCCAAACCCTGCAATCATAAATTGCAAGCATTGCTGAAGTGTAGATGGATACTACATGCCATTTACTTGGTAAGAGCTTTGAAACTGTTGTGATTAGACCTCCTCTACAATCTTATTTCCAAAGAAAACTGGCTGCTAGCTAGGGTTGCCAACTGCTTTTCAGGGAATCCCACAAGACAACACTTAAAAAATAAGCTATTTACAATTGAAAAAGGTTACATTTTTTCACATAACAGTTTAAAGTCAGATAATTCAAATTTTGTATGTTCTTAAAACAAGTATAATAATTATTATTTACTCCATACTTAAATTTAATTAGCATGCATGATGCAATCTTAGATCATCATTCAAATCATGTGACACAAGAATGTGCACATTCAAATCATTTGTTGTTCCCTTTTCATTTTATGCTCTGCAATAATAATTTTCTTTTTCCTTTTCCAGATTTAATATCAAACTCCCTGAGATTTTCATGACTTTTCCCTCATCTGACAATGGATCTGAAAATCCCTGATATTTTCAGATCCATTGGATACCCGGCTATCGTATTATATGAGGGATACTTGTACATAAATGTATAAATTTATTTGTTGTATACCAGTACAAGTAATTTCTGTAGTCATTTACAAAAAATTCCAAACATGATGTAAAATGCACAAAATGAATTTCAAAACTTAAATGTCTTTTAATGCTTTTCCTGTATTTCTGTAATTTACTTATGTTTACTTTAATGTAATTCTTTTAAAATTGAACAAAAAGAATTTTGTATAACAAACTGAAAACAGCTTACCAAATCCCCAGATGAATTCACACTGTTTGTTTGGAGTAGGACAATTTCCATGATAACAATATCCAGCTGCATTGTTGCACATGTTTCCATTTTTCTTGTACACATCAACAGGACACTAATTAAATTTAACAGAATGTAATATTTCATCAACAAGTACTAAGATCCTATTTATACTGTATGTATATATATATAACGAGTATATACACAAATATATATACAGAATGTAATATTATTGAACAAAACTTTGATATCATTCATTACTCCAAATAAAGAACCTGAAACAAAGAAATATTACCTGGCCCACTTTACCATCACAATATTCTGGTATGTCACATTCACTGGCAGCAGGACGACAGAGGTGTCCAGCATGCTTCAACTACGAAAAACAGAAATAAAACTAAGTAGAAATCTATTGCTTGTATTATTAACAATTTTCATAAATGAATCAATAAATTGGTAGCTTTAATAAATTTTATATAAAGACAAAACTTAAAATTTTAGATCATACTTTGCAGTTCTCGCAGCAAGGACCCGTAGAGCATTCTGCTTCAACACGCAACTTACAAGTTATCGGATCGCAGCATGGATCGGACTGAAGACATTCCTATAAACAGAGGCATTTTGTTAAATTCTAATAATTATATATTTTTATACATGCTATTAATTTTTTCACAATTATACCTCTATGCTTCCACAGTCACACTGTTCACCTTCTTCAATAACTCCATTCCCACAAGAACGAAAGTCTTCTAACTAAGAAAACATAATTTCATTTTTTTCTAAATAATAACTTTTCAGATTTACACATGTATGTTGTATTAAAATGAATTCAATTTCTTGAAATTTCTTAGAAAAATTTATAATTCAGTTATTAAATAAAATTTATATATATTAAGGAAAAATTCTCTCTGCAAGATCCATCATCATAATCTACACTTACTTGGTTAGGTTTGTTAAAAAGACAAATACCGTGACCAATACGAAGGGCATTAATGTAATCTTGCAGGCTACATGCAGAGAAGTGATAAGGCTGTATTCTATTCTGTCCACTATAACCAATAAAATACACATGTAAATCATCCAATCATGTTTAACATCACTAGCTTTTATTCAAATGATCAAATGAGAGAGATTATCCAAAAGTTTTGGAAGAAGTTTATTTACTAAATATGAATACTTTTAGTTACCAAGGTAAAGAATTTATTTATAATATCCCTATCTGCTATTAAAAATTTAAAATAAAATCTCTAAAATATATACAAGCAAAGAAATGTGTTAAATTAAGATTTGAAAAAAATGAATGTGATGAAAGGTATATTTAATATTAAATTTATTAATTCACATAGTTTTTTAGTGTATCAAACGGTAGGAAATTAAATCTTCAAAAATGATAAGATTAAAGAGGAAATTTTATATATCTAGAATAGTTTTAAAGGAAAAAATGAAAAACATTAACTATACAAGCTTCTTTCCAAAAACACAATAATTTCTTTGGTTTCTTTCAAAGAAACCATACCATAAACTCATGGAATATCCCTCAAATAGATTTAAAATTTATCTCTCATTTCAAGTGCTTTCTTCATTTCAGAAAAACATTTTACTCAAAGAAACTTCTCTGACTTTTTGTCAAATTAAATAATACATTTGGTTTATTAGAGTACATATAACACAACAAACCACAATATACTTTTGGACTTTGGTATGACAAAAAATGAGATAATTAACATTATAAGTTCTGGAAATTGAATTCTAAGAGTAGAAAGTTTACAAGACCTATATGAAAACTCCTGTAGTACATTTATTAAAATCCAAAAGTACTTGAGTCTGTTATGATATATTTAAACAGTGTGTGTATGCCAATACACCACAATTTTATTTATTAAAATTTCTAATCTCTTTTTCTTGAAGTAATTTTAAATGAATTTCTGACTTTATCCATTAAATTTCTCAGCTTGTCTGCAAAAAACACTTTTGTTATTTTAACTTATATAAAGTTAAATATACAGTAATTGTTGTTATTCTTTCTACAAATTTATATATATATATTTTTTAAGGTTATAGTTATGAAAAAATGTATATAGCTTTTAATTATCTAAAATCCAATTGATAATTGATAATGCAAAATCTAGTTCAATTTGTAACCTAGATGTAAATTATCAATATAATCTCTGTCAAATGCATTTGTGAGTATTTCAAAACAATAAAACAGAACAAAAATCTTAAATCAAATTTTGAACTTTTTTGTAATAATTATGAGAATTACTTCATCGTAAACAAATGATAAATCAACCTTCCAGTTTATTTAATTTAAATGATGTTAATATTGCTTGTATAACTTCTGTTTGACTACTTCATTTCTTATTATATGATGGATTTTTCAAAATAAAAATTGTCTATTCAAAAATTTAAAAATTTTTCAATAGACAATATATTACAAAAAATTTGTATGCTTGAATGATACAAAATATAGAAATATGCAGATAAAAACTAACTCTTCAAGATAATAGTGCCGACCCTTTCAGTCAGCAAACAAACATTTAATGCAACTAAGCAAGTATTTTTTCTGCAGCTCTCCAAGTTTGTACATACTACATTTGGCATCATTATTGTTGTCAGGGGTCTAGGTTAAGTAAAAATCACTAGACATGAGTAAAGAAAAATTTTTGTGTTATCAAGTACTTTCAAATAAAGTTAATTAACTATTCAGAAATGTTTTTGAACAAAGTTTGGTGAGGAAAAGCATGTAAAGAAACAGCATGAAAACATTGAACTTGACAAATGCCTGCATATCACAAAATTTCCAGGTTAACTGGGCACTTTGGAGTTTGTGAAGGAGATATTTCAAGATAGCCTTTGTAAGTCCAATTGAACAAATTGATAGTTAGATATCCTGCAAACACTAACAAGACTGCAGTTACTGTAAGCACTAATCAATAAAGACAAGACTTATCATTTGCAGTTCTTTACCTTACTATACTCTCAAAGCATTCCCTAAATGGGTAGCTAAGATAAAGTGACATTTCTGTGCACAACACCCTCCAAGCCTCAGTCCTCTGAAGAATGTCATTTGGACAGGACAGAGTACACCAGGAACACTCACCCAAACTTTCACTCTGGCACCTGCTAAAATCATGCACTATACCATACCTGACAATCTTGTACCATTTCTGTCTATCCATACATACTCTTTTGCTTCTTCCACATTCATAACTCTTTTCACACACTCTTGGCACCTTTTTCATTCAAAATTTCATTAAAAATGGAATAAAGAAGTTCTTTACCATCATGCAGAAACACTCAGAAAAAGAAAATTTTGCTAGAAAACTGATTTTCAGTAAAGCTAAGTTCTTCTTTCAAGGGAAAGTAAACAAACAAATCTGTCCACATTAAAACTGAAAATTTATGTTACAATTGAATACACTCAGGATTTACTGAAATAAAACATTTTTTATTTTGTATCCAAAAAGTCATTTCACTTCATCTGTGAAAAACCCTATTTTTCTTACTTTAATTACACTATATTCGATTAACTTACATTACTTAAGAAAATTGTGTTTTGTTCTGGGCAAAAATTGCAAATTCCTGACCATAAAACTTTTCATTGTACTTGCCTACCACCAACTATCTTTGAGAACAACACAGCAGAAAATGTTCAGTACCAACAAACAAAATGCAAATGAGGTAAGTGGCACATACCATGTAACATCACTGTATAAACATAACAAGGTAAGTAGACAAAAACCAAAACAACAGTAAGATGCTTGTCTGCAGCATTACATGGTTTGGAAAAAGTTATTAACTGGAAAACATTCAGAAATGTTATTTTGTATTGACTCATGGAAAACCATAACCTAATTGATTTGGATTAATTGTTTAAATAGTATTTTATTGCTTGATGATATTTTGATCTGTATGCTTTTTTGAAATATCGTTATTCACTAAGATTTTGTAATATTAATAACAACCACTATTTGTCAAATTTTGTATCTTTAATGAATTAAATTAATCTCATTGTTTTGAAAACTGTATTATTACTGATCTCTACTACTGCACACAGAAATTGAAAGTATCAATTCCAAAGTTAGATGCAGCTATTGGCTATCTAACAAACCCTTAAAATTTAGTACAATTAAGGCACTTTTGGGAAGTATATATACTTTTAAGTATAACTAAACTTTACACACCAAGTCAGCTGTTATGGAACATCTTTATTAAGTAATGCCACAACTTGATTATTGCCTGGGGAAGCCCAGGCTATTGGGATAACGTTTACACTTTTTTGCCCAAATTAAAAAAAATTCTCACATTAGATTTTGATGATTTTGGTGTCAAAATGCTCAGTGGAACCCCGATGTGTGCATAAATTACTTTTTGGAAAATATAATTAACTCAGAGAAAAAATATATTCAAAGTACAGAAGTGTCAACTTTTGCCTCTGATGCTTAATAACGAAGTATTTGACATTTTTGGGTGCTGTTTTTTTGCAATATAAAGCCACACATTTGCTTGATAATTTTCCAGAGTTTGGTGAATTTCAGTTGAACTATGAAAAAGTTACCAAAGTTCTAAAAAAGGGAACCAGATTTGTGTCCTTCATTCCCTCTAGTTGGAACCATGTTACCAAGTTCTTTAATTGCCTTGTGCTAATAACTAAGTTTCTGGAACAATGCAGACTTTGTCATTTTTTTCAAAGGTGTGGACTTTTTGATTTCATTTTTGTACTAAAATACAGTCAATTCCATTTAATTGGGAAATTAAATGGAATTGGCCCACCAGTGAATTGGGGCAGCCGCTTTTTTGTACCAAATCTAAAAGAATGGAAAATCAACTAATAAACTAATAAATAAGTTAAACACTTAATTAGGACAGTAGCAGAAATGGAATTTAGCAATTTTTGATATATTTTAGGGATCCTCTGAAAATATGTCAACACTATGTATAGTTAGATGTTGTGTAGGCCTAATGGTTGGTGGAAACAAAGAAATTTTGTCTTTCGTGGGGCAGTTTGGTTTTTCCAGAGGGGATCAGCATAGCAAGACATACGACACCGGGATCTTGTCTCAGGCAAACCTGAATTGAGCTACTAGCCCTGCTCCAGATTAGACCAGCTTGATTCCTTCTTCTCATCCCATCAGGAATTTTCAACCTTTATGTAACTATTTCAAATATATGTTTTTTAGTTGTGTCAAGCAACTTGCCAACATTCAAACACAGTTCCCTCAGTCGACACTGGACAAAATCTCAAACGAGGTTGTTTTTAACAAATGATACTGATTTAGCCAAGACTTTTCTCGCTTAAATACAAACTGATTTTATTTTATTATTCCTTTATTTTTTATTTTTTAGTTTAGTTNCTGTTAAAGTTTTTCTGAGTTTTTTTATAATAATTACTAGACAGAGGAAATTAGTCATAAAATAAAACAATAAAAACATTTATTTTTATATTTAATTTACATAACTGGCACAGTTATGTAAATTAAATAAACACCTGCAATCAAATTACAGCAGTAGCCAGTGAGTACCTGGGGTGAATTTCCCAGTATTTCAGAGGCATTTCTCAGTAGCCACTTCCAGCCCTGTTAGCATATAAATGTAAATTTTCACATTTTTACACATGCTAAATTTCTTTTATTTCACAACTAAAATTGTCTTTTTTCCCCCACACTATCATTATGAATAATCCTTATTCAAAAGAAAACATTTGTTAAAGTTGAATTAAAGTTTGCTGGTTATAAAATTAAGGTTAATAGTTGAATGTGTTGAGAAATGGTTCATCGAGAATTTGCTTAACAATTCATATACTTTGTTATATTTTTCCATAATAACTTTTTTATACAATACAATTTATATTATCAATTTTTTCTCTTTCACAGGCCTCTACTAGCAATTTATACAACTAAATGCAGCTTTTGAATTATCTATAATGTCTATTTCAAAATTGCATTTGCTGCTTCAGTCTTAGTTAAATCTCTTTCTGCAAACTTCTTGGAGCATTTTTATTCCTTCTTTCTTTAATGAAAGAAAAGGAGAATGAATTCTGCCCTCAACT